ATCAATCACTGTCATGATTTCTATTTGAAAACATGAACCAATCGAATTTTTACGCTCGTGCCTCCCTCATGGTTTCCATATTATCCCTTAAACCGTTGGATTCCCTTAAACGGTGCCCACAATCATTGCTCAACCATTATTCAAAGTTCATATTCATAAGAAAAATATTTATAAAAGTTCTTCTATGAACTACGTAGTATTGCTGACCTCAATAAAAAAACTGTAATCTAGGTCATATAATAAAATTATAAAATTGTAGTTATCCAGATAATTTCTTGTTGTTTATAGCGTGCAGTTTTGACTCATTATATAATAAAATATAAGTGTATGATGGAAGTTCCAGATTAAACGACAATAATATGAAAAAAATAATTGACAAAGTTTACTTCATTTTTTTACTTTCGTCAAAAAAGTAAATTTATGTTAACATGATTTATTAATCGTGATCGTTCTTATTGAAGTCCATGATGCTGCATAAAGAACAATTGCATATAAGCCACGATTCTGCTTCACAGAAAACTGCTCAAACAAAATTTCTCAACTTTGATTTCGATCCCATAGATCAAAAAGGCGTCAACTCCTTAGGTTTTGGTGTAGACCGCAGCTTGCTCGATAGGGTGTGGGGGTGTGCTTCAATTCATCTTTTCTTAATAGCCATACCCCACACTCACATCCACCATGAGCAACCTTGGCAAGAGTCATATGGAATCGTACCCAAACTCATCATTTTCATTAGATTAACGGCTGGCATGACATCTTCCTGCTAGAAAACAAAAAAACATCATGAACATGGAATTCAATTCAATGACGTCAGTGCACTGCTGAATATACTGAAATATGCCATTGAGACTTTCGCAAAAGATAATTTGAAAAGCCATATTGATGACTGATAAATTCGAATGAACAAATTCATTGATGCTAGAGGACAGTACTCTGAATAAATACACCAGAACTAATCTTTGAATATTTGGCTAAAGGGCTGGCGAAAAAACATTTGTAGTAGCCCTTGTAAAATTATTTTTTCACGGGGTAACACTGATTTCAAATAACATCAGTAATAAATTATATACTGAACTAAAGCGCGTCGAAAATGAGATTTATCAGTACCCAATAGAAAGGCTTCTAACACCCCATGTAAGCATCAAACACAAGATAGCCGCGTTCAAACACGATTTTGTTATAAATCACGTCCAGACGCGGCTCAGAAAATTCGTAAATCGCATCTAGACGCGATTCGGAATTAAACCGCGTCTGGATGCATTCGCTCCTTGCGTTTCAGGCACGTTTACACTCCAAAAAGTATTTATCAGATATCTAATAAATGTGTTCAGACACTTTTCTATCTTCCAAGACGCGTGGATGCAAAAAATGTTATGCTGAAGACAGAATAAAAAGTAAAACTCGTTCAAATGGATTTGAAACTTTTTTCAACAAACAGATGGATATACGTTTTTAACGTGAAACATACCTAGCGCAGTTAAGATCTACTGATTCCATGTGTCTGATTCATTGAAACTGCATTCAACATTTTATAGATAGAAAATTTTTTCAACATGTATAGAAGCGAAGAAAAGTCGATCATGCGCAAAATAGATAAAAAACATAACGTAGGCTGCTAGAAAATCTTTATAAATGATGCATGAAATTACGTATACGAATCCTTTACCTCGTCAATAGCTTTCAGTCAAACTTCCGAATAATACTGGTAAAATTATATAACTAATATATAATTGTCACAATTCATTTACATAGTTTAATTAATTTTTTTTATTACACTATCCTATCAACTGAATCGGAACTTTATTCACCGCGTAACTGACTGAATATTTGCGGACTTCTAACAAGATTCATTAATGAAAATATGGACATAGACAATATGCCGATTCCGGATTTATTAGCTTAAGAGCATCGTCGATGTTTCGGTTTGGGCTAAAAACCTATGTGTAGCTTTTTGTTATAAAGATGATTAGCCGTTTTCAACTTTAAAAAAATACTCTCGTGAAATAGCACTACGAAAGCGAATACAGTCCGTGTTAATTAATTACCTTGAAAGTCTCTTTTCAATAAATATTCACTTATATAAAATATTAGATTTTGTAAAAACAGGAATCCAAGTAGTTACAGAATTGTACATGCCTCGTCACTGTTCAAGAAATTGCTACATATGACATTGTCTCATATCTTTAAATGTTCAAATGTCTGCACTAACTGTAGTGAACATATGACAAGTATTTATTTTTTATTTAAATGACAAAATGATGATAATCAGAATATATGTGCATGAGAAAAATAGTCTTTTAAATGTTCAGGAAATTTTGATCTGTTATAAAACAATACATAACTTATTTTTGCGCAATTACTTCGAATTGTATTTCTTCTGAAATTGCGTGTCACTTTGTTCACTAATCGATAATTCAAATGAATACAAACATCATTTGGTAAACATGTTTTGGTATCAAATAAAAACTGTTCATGATAATCTTTGTGAGCTTCACTAAGATTAAGTTGAATAAGATGTGGATATTTAACAATTAATAAATCTTCATTTTCATTTTTTGATTTTCTAAATCGTTTATTATTTTGTCGTTGTTGATTAATTACAGTTAATTTTTCCAATAATGGAAATGATTGAGTAATTCGAAGAAGAAATTCATGTTCGAAAGGATATTCATCATATAATCCAACTGCACGAACACATTTAAATAATCTACCGGGAAAATTATTTGTTATATCTTCATAATGTTTCAATTGATATGGATATGAATAAATATGACATCGACTATGTTTCCGTTTTTGGAAATAATCAATACAAGAAATAATTTGTTTATCTTTAAAATCTCTGAATGTCTTTTGAATATCTTCATTTGATGGTAAATTAGTTTTACTATAAAAAGAACTCACTGAACAAATATTAAACGTGAATTTTTTTAATAGTGGCATATGATTGATAACATTTATTTTCAAATCATTACCGTCACGAAATGTTCTATTGTTCTAAACTGTAAGAGACAAATGGAGGTTTTCTAAATTTGACATTCGATGTAAAAGTGGTAAAATTAATTCATCATAAAACTCTGTACTTTGATTGCAATATAGCGAAAATGATCTTACATTAGGTAGTTTTTCCTAAAAAGAAAACAAATATCAGTTTGTTTGAATAAATTAAATATTAATCAAAATGTTCTACCTTATTATTGATTGTTAAAGGCGAAATAATAATGAAATCAATATTAACATGAAGTATACGAAGCTGATTGAAACGTCCATCAAGTAAATAAAGACAATTATTAGAAGTTTTCAAATAAACGTTTAATTCTAACAGAGTTGAAGAGATAACAGTTATGGGTTATTCAAAGAAGGATAAATATTGAACGCTATTTTCAGTTGTATGAAAGTTTAATACTCGTAAATTAGTGAATGTAGTAAAGATATGAGTAAATAAAAGTGCATTGTTATTTTCTCTTGATATTTGTTCCCCATGTGGATTCATATCGATAACAAGTGATGAAATTTGATTTTTCAAGGTACAACTGAAAAGAGTTTCATCTAAACAATGAAAAGATTTCAAATATTTTATTATTACATTTTCTTTTTCACGCAAATTGTTTTAAAATTTAAGTTGAAAATAATATGGAAGTTTTTATTTTAGTATTTTCTTATATATCAGCATTTGTTCTATTTGAAACGATCTCTCTGATGAGTTTTTTTCTCACTGATACTGATAAATAAAAATTTCTTAATTTTATTAGTGTAATTATCTAATTAATGACATTATAAGTTGATTCAAATAAATAAATTTGACATATAGCTTTAATGTATTTATCAATGAAAAAAAATCGAAGTCAAATATCTTACCAGAAAAAAGATGCACAGTATTTTCTACTTGGATATTGTATAAACCAAGTCCAGATAAATTGGGATAGTTGGTAGCAAGAAGAATACGTTCCATTGAAAATGGTTCAACATTAAGCCATTCGATTTTATTATGAATTTCAAGTAAGATTTGTAAACAAAATCGATCAACTATTGAGTCAGGTAATGGATAAACTGAATATCTTGCTAAAGCGTAGAAGTCAATCACAGGAACTGGTAGAAATCTTAGCAAAGTCAAACGATTCGTAAAAATAGAATCATGTGCTATTTTATTTAATCGTTTGTTAACGCCAATTAACGAAGAAAGTAGCGAGATATTATGTAACTTTATAAAAATAATCATAAGAATTTCATCAGGTAAATGACTCAATTGAACGTATGAATATTTCATAGTTGTCTACATCTAAATCTATTGTGTCTTTTCAACTTAAAAATGTCAATATTTCTATATGCATATTCATGTGTTCCACTTGACCAAATATCATTAATGAAAACAAAGACGCATTTCTCTATCATCTAAACAGACGATGAATGAATCTACAGCTGATAGAGTGATTTTTTTTCTCTTTTTTGTTTGATCTATCATTTAGTATGTGAGTAACGATTTAGAAAACCTCTTTATTATTCATATTGTAATATACAAAATAATTTCAACCAACTGTTTTAAGAGATAAAATATAATATCTACTTAGAACAATTTTATATTTTTTATTTGAATAGAAGTATTTATAAACTATTGAAAATCAGAGTAGAACAAATAATTCCTATCGGGGGCAAGGATACATTCTCACTATCATCCTCTTACTTCCAGACAGAATTATATGTCAAAAAACGATGTTGCATGATTAACAGTGATAACCAATAAAAGACAGAATTATTTCTAATAGTAAGGGTATTAACATATACACAAAGAGCAGCGGTGTAACCAATGAAGGGGCAAATGGGTAATTGTCCATTGAAATTTTACTTTTTCAGAATTATTTATTTATTTTTGAATTAGATGTTACTGTTTTTGTTTCTTCTGTCTGAATCACACATGTATTCTTTGCTTGTTCTTTCTGTGAAGAATTAAGAAAAGAATCGATTCTTCTATTTTAACTATAGGTTTGTATGAACATGAGTGCGGTTTTATTTGAAAAACACTAACCACGTAAAGGATGCAATGATTTGTTTAAAATGGATGATGACCAAAGAAAAAAATGATTAAATGAACTAATTAACCCTTTTGAAGACCGACTTCTTTTTCATAGGAACCAAACTAGATTTCTGCTTACCAAATCAATTATAGTTAATGCCTATTAAACATGATTTTTTCATTAAGATTTTATGCAACATATGGACACTGTTTATTTTGAAACCAGACGAAAGAAACACACATCCAAGAACTATAATAAACAAATTTAATAACATACAAGAATAGAAGTTAGTACTAAAAAACAACTTTACATACATAGGAGGGATGTCATAATATCCGGAACTCGGCTATCAAGATTCTCACACATCTCAGAATAGCGACGAGTTTGAGTGCATTTAGTGCAGCGAGATGGATACCAAAAAAAGTCGGTTTGGGTTTGGGTGTTAGTGTGAGTGGGGTTGCAGAATTATACAAGACTCACATGGATATAGCCACAGCCACACCTTCATCCATCCACACCAATTGCTGTACTGTGTGTGTACTGTTGCGGGTGTGAGTTCTTTCGCGACGCCTATGCCAGCTACTGTGGCTTCTGTGCAGTGTCCCATCTGTCTGCGCTTCGGCGGCACTCACATATCGGCACGCCAATTTCGCTCTATGATGATGATGAAAGAGAAGAATTCTAATTACTTGCATAGCCTCGAAAGCTCCAAATGAGAATAGTTGAAAGTGACAAAATACAGAAATATCACAAACCATAGGATGCGCAAATCAGTAAAGGCTTCATGAGTCGTTAAAATCCAATCTTTTGAAAATAGAACCCGCGAGACGGCAGCTAAAGCGATACAGAACAGAACGAGAATAGGAAACACTTCCAAAAGGTAGATAAAAGTTTTAGGACAATAAAATGCAAAAGGTGTTATTGAATACATTTTCTTAGCGAAGATAAATAAAATAAGCTACCATGTTGCCATAGGATACGATGCTCTGTACTTTGCGATGTATTTCATTTAGTATTCAATGCAAGCAAAAGTATCGCAAAATGATACAACGTTATATTGCATCACTAGTCACATAGTTGCTCTTCAAACTCGGTCAAATTCCTCACTTTTAAAAATAGGGTATCCATTCTTTTTCTGTATTCACTTCACCGGATATCGTTACTAGTAACTCGCCGATATCCAGCTTATGAATATTATGACACATCTGAGTCTTTCTGTGTTTTTTTAGGTATAAGAGATGGAAAGTGTCTACCAGTATGTCTGATTGGTTGCTAACCAGTGTAGGATGATCTATCGCTGATAATGGACTACACTAAGCTACATATACAGGGTGCCCAAAAGTTACTAGAAAAGTAAATTCGTATGGCTCCACTATTTATGAAGCTTAATCAGCTAAGTTTTTTTTCCAGATGATAGATATAACTGTAAAGTTTGTATTTGTACGGACGAATTTCACAAATATTGTTCAAAGTTATCACTTTCGACTAAAATACAAAAAGCAGTCTTTTTTAACTTCAGAAAACAAATACTTTGCAGTATTTCTGTTTCAATGCTATAACCTTGATCTTTTTTATGGCGTTTATACCGAGCACTATCAGTGGTATGAATTTGAGCTGATGTGTCACTACGAAAAATGCCTAATCGTGTTAAATCCAATGATCAGAAAGTTCTTGAGATCAACTTACCTCTTCCAGTTCATCACCCATCTTTCGCAACGTGATAGCGGCCTTACTGGTTTCATGATTATTTCTTATACACCCTAACTTCTTTCGATTTCTCGATCATGTAAATAGGTAGTGTTGGCCTTTATTTCTCTCTCTGCTTCCATCTCGTTAGTCTGTTTTTGATAGCTGCGATAAAACGCACATACTGACAATAGCATTCATTTATTGTTGTTCTGTTTTGTTCTTGTACTCAGAATGTTTGGAGTAGCACTAAAACAGCTTCAAATTCCTTCCAATTGGTGAGGGAAAAAATTCCTTTCATATCGAAAAGGGTATTTTCATATGTCAAAACAAGAGACCAGTGGTCACTAGTGCAGAAGTACATTGTTTCACATGAAATATCTTTCATATTTGAGAAAGATAAATCTATATTACTCATCGAGCGCTTAGATGAATGCGAAGTTGATGGTATGTAGTTAAGGTTATTCTCTTCAATCCAATCTTTAAGAAATGCTACTCTCTTGTTCCTTGAAGGACTGTTCCATTCTTTCACTGGTGCATTCAAATCTCCAGTGAGAATGGCACCATCCACTACCAATGGAAGAATATCATCAAGATAACGTTTTTGGCTATTCGACCAGAAAATGCCTATGGTCCATACTTGGTCAGAGAGTTCTGCGATATAGATAACTAACGCGCTTGGTATATCTATCTCTATACACGATGCCTTTAGATGTTTAGCTACTGCTATACAAACGCCTCCGCTGTGATTAGTACCGTTTTGATAAAAAATGTTGAAATTCGGCAGCTTATTTGTGTTCCATAGCTCTCCGACTTCCGTGAAAATGCATATGGACGCTTCTAGTTTGTATGCTAATTCAATAACTTGCAGTGCTTGCACACCTCATCCTTGAACATTGTAACATAATATTTTAAAGAGTATATTAATGTTAATGTTGTTAGTCATCGTTGAGTTACTATTTTTCTAATGGTTTAGTATTGAACCTAATGCACTATTAGAGTATCACTCTTTCAAGACCTCAATAACTAATTTTTGATTACATTCTGAAAAATTAAAATGTCTCAATTGATGTAACGTGTGGTCTAGTTGATTAACTAGGGTGACACTTTTAGAGAGAAAGGGACGTGTAAGCGATTACACGAACTACTAAAACTACTTATTTTTTTTCGCAATTTATTTATTACCAGTGTTCGTTTCTTTAGACGTTGCGTTTGTTTGACTTTGCAAGGATGGTGATGCTGTATGTTTACGCCTTATTTCAAAGTCATTACTTAGATTAGTTTGAAAATCAGCTAATTTATCGAAGAACAATTGTAGGCATTTTTCAGACTTCACTAATGCTGGATTAACTTGATTTGTCACCGGCCAGATAATATTTTGAATGAGTAACCGAACGTACTGGATTAAGTTCTTTATTGTATTTTGATGTAGCTCCGTGCCCAAGGGTGTCTGATTCAATTTAGCTTCGATTTTTTTCTAGTTTTTCTTCGATTCTTTTATTACTCTCACTCATAGCAACCAAATTTTCATTTATCAGTAGAAGTGCTTTTGTTGACTTGAGTGTTGCATTAGTACGTGCATTTGTTTGTAACTTATTTCATGTTGCTTGCCCAGGTGTTTTAACTTCATTTAGTGCCGGAAAATTGAGATCTTGCAAACTGAAAGAAGACTGTTGGTTACTGTATTCGATTCGATGTAGCTTTCCGGATTTCAAAGCTTTTGTTACAACTTCTTTTAGATCAGCTCGATATTGTTGAATGAAGTGGCATTGACCATGAAGCGAATGGTGTTCACCATCACATTGCACCCATTTTTGTATCTTTGTACATCTGTGTTCATCATTTTTTGATATTTTTTCTAGGCAAACACGACATCGTTGTAAACTACTTTTACAATGATTGCGTATGTGACCCATTTTCCAACATTTAGTGCATTAGGTCATGCAGTTCTCTGACAAGAAGGGAGTGACGGTTAGCCGGTGAATTACTCATCAAGATGCGATCTAGTTCAAGAGCTGCTTTACAGTCTTTTAAATCCATTATGGTGAATCGATAATCATTGGATTTTCTTTCGTACGCATAATAAATTTATTTAATGTTATCGGCTGATGTAATAATACGTTTAATTTGTTCGTTCACTAGTTCTATTTCAAGTTCACATGGAACATATCGCACAACTAGCGCGAAACAATCGGAAACATATTTCGGCTTGATGATTTTAATAGTATATCATCAATAGCTGTTGGCCATTGGTTTGTTGTTGCCAGCGTCATATAGTCTTCTTTGTTGTTTACCCCTAAGTTCAGATGGTTACTTAACCATCCTACTAATGAGAAATGTCGAATATTTCCTTTTTGATCTTCAAAATGCTTCTCGATTATATCTCTAGCTTCAAAGGTCGATAGGAACCTCTGTATTGTATTGACTTGTACGAATTCGATGAAAAAATATGGCAAATTAAAAGCTACTGCTCGCTCAAGTTGATCGAAAGGGAGTGACTTCCATTGTTGCTGCTTATTGTAAGTCGTTTTTTCTCGTTGTGCGATAGTACCGTTGTGTGGTTTACGCTATGCTGGTACTGAGCTGATGGATCCGCCACTATTGTTGAGCAAACGACCACGTTTCGGGGTTGAAGACTTATACTATACATCAGTTTTCATATTTAAAATAGACGGTATTTGCTGTTGATTTTGATTCATTTTGTTATGATATATCTGCCGTGATGATTGCTGTGCAGTACGAGCTCGTGTAAATTCAATAAATTGATAAAAATCATTCAACATATGTGGATTCAGCGCTAGTGAATGAAGAAGACTTCTTCATTGTTCTGCGTCGTTCTGATTTTGATGCATTGCTGGTTGAAAAAAATGTTGTTGACTAGGTTCATCCATTGAGAATTAATTGTTCATACCTATTTCACTTGAATTACCTTGAGCTGCACGAAAGTAGTTTTTCGATGTATTTATTTCATCTAATTGGGAATTGATAGAAGACATAAAGTAGCTCCTCCGTGAATCATGGGATGTACTGTTAAGATGAAAAACATAGTATATGCAAACGAAAGAGCAAAAATGGCGATCATTCTTTTCTGTCATGTGACGTTTATCGACTTCATTTAATGGGTCCATTATATTCGAATGTCTGCGCTAACTTAGATCTTCTCTCTCTCCGTATGATCGCACTGTATATCACCACGTTCCCTAGCTTGGCATTGATATATATATATCTAGAAAATCATTATTTAATTATGATAAAACAACTATTTTTTTTTAATTCATAGAAAAAAAAATGAAAAAAATAAAGAGATAAGTAAAACTGTTTATTCTATTCTCCAGAATCACGATTAAAAAAACAAGGAAAATCAATACATAATTTACTTTCTTTCTTTCGAGCATGCCTTTTAATATCATTTCGTTTCAGTTCATTCTTTTTAGTGTAAAAATGATAGTAAGTATTTAGTACGATTTTGTGTTTCACTTAATGTAACTAATGTCCATATACTTCGATCAAGTATAACAGACCATGGTCGTTCAACATTTAAAATTTTATGAGGTTTTAAATATTCATTTCGTCTTATTTGCCATATACATGATGCATTATAATCAGCAATTAACCAACCACCAAAATGATCTGTACTTACTTTAAATCCAGTTACTTCAATTTGTCTTAATAAATTTAATTGATAATCAAATATAAGTAAAGCAACATCACATAAAACAGCTAAATGTTCAGTAAGATCATCAGCTTCAATATCTCATATTGTTGATGATGCAAGAATATGTTTACATATTGAAGTTAATCTATAATCATAACGTTCAAGTAAAAAATTGAGGACGATCATTATAGGATGAACGAGTAAATGAAGAAGTCGATGAAGATGCAAGAATTTTGTATGTATGGAAGACATTGCTCGAAATAGTTTGTTAGTGCAGCTCCTTTGAGACCAACTTTAACTGTTTTCAAAGATGACCGATCATCAGATATGTAATCCTCTTATCAATTTTTTGCATTTCGAATAGAATTTTTTGTAACCTTTTACTAGCACTCTATTTTTTGTTTGCCTTGTTGCTATTCACTTGTTTTTTTCTTTTGTACTGCTATATTGCTCAATAAGCTCACAAAACTGATATTGATTATATCTCGCAGCGAATTCAATCAGTTTGCATTCCATACAATCACAAAAAAAAACAATTGGAATATGAAATTCGAAAGTTTTCTAATGAATGCAGAATTTTTGAAATTAACAGATGCCGCTCGTAATCAGTGGTAATAACTTTTGTTTTAGATGCATTGTTAACGCGAATGACTCATCATTCGAACAAAAAAACGGGTAAAATCGTTGACCGAATCAATTCAAACAAAATGTCTTCTTCATTTGCATTGTTTTCATTGTGTTCGATCAAATTCATTTGCAACTGTATTACATCATTGCACCGATTTTCAACTTCTCAATAACTTGGTATGTCCCGAGCGGAGTGTGATCGCTTGAGCTTGAAAATTTTCATTTTTCTCTAGCGAAACTGCATGGTTTTCTTCGTTTTTGCCTCACCAGTCTCCACACAAGGGTCACTTCGCCCACTCCTAATGTTGTGAATGCTACCTTCTCAGTAGTCGTTCCGTTCTCCCTCCTCTATCTTGATGATCTCGGAACTTTTCTGTCAACAGCCGACAACAATACAATACAACATAAAGGTAACGACTATTGACCATTACACTTCATCTCTCTCCTCTGCTTTTGTTAACATGACTTCTTATAGCATTGACATTGACAATGTATGTTTCTGTTTTTCTTCTATTTATGTGACCAATGTATAAGCATATATTTTTACTGATATCGATGTGACTGGAACGATGAAGTAGCTTGATAAGCATCATTACCGAGCGTGGCTACAGAATTATTACTCCAGTTCATTACAATATAGCTCGTAGATCTTATCAAAATGATATATATATCGAAGTATTTGATCTTACAGCACATACAAAACTCGAATTAAAATGAGCAATTATAAAGTAAATTTTACATTATTTCATGTTATTATCAAATAATCCTTCGATATATTTAGTAAATAATAAATCACAATAATAAACAATCAGATTTTTGTATCTTATTATTGAAATCGAGAAAGATCATTGATATCAATATTAAAAATTTTCATTTTGATTTAGATACATCTCGATGCTTAGGCTTTCCGTTTCTATTTACAGTTATCACAAAGATTTGTATGTAACCACGTGGTATGAATGAAAGAATGAAAAAGAATTCAATCAACTGGCACGTTCTACTATGATGTCATGGTTCACTTTTTGTTTATGTGCATCTATTTTCTTTTATCTCTACATAAAACATTTGGATATATATTTATTTCAAGTACAGATGTAAATTTCTTTTTTATTATTCGTAGATATGTTTTTTGATCGTGAATCAACAGTCGTTATTACTAAATTCAATAATTTATCTGAATCAGTCTTAACATCTTATTGTAAAAAATTTGGTAGTGTTATTCGATGTTTAATTAAAACTTCTACTCAATCTCGAAATAAAGATCTTTGTAAGTTCTATTTTAGCTCACACATATCAATAATAATATGAAATTTATAATATCCTTTTTTTCTTAAAAATTTGATCATTAAAATTTATTGGTTAAGTTTTAGCTCTGTTGAGTAGGAAAAGAAATGTTAGTTATTTGAACAATACACTAAAGGTTATTTTTTTTAACTGTCAAATTGAAACATTTGACCTACGATCTTTTTTATGTTGATTATCAAAAGAAATAGATGATTTCATTTTGAAATCATTTATTAATTTTATACGATAAAACTAATAATTATCACAGAAAATATACTGACGCTCGATAAACGAAGCATTACTTAATCTCTTAGTTTTAAAAAGTTAATAGAGACTAGAAATACTTTATTTTAAAACGATTCAAATATTGATTATTGTGCAGACTTTTGCAAAGGATATAAATCTATGTGATTTTATGCATTGAATGTTCACAATGAAGATAATTGTCACAGTCAAATTCAAATAGTCCGAATTTCTGTTATACCTTTTATAATATGTACTTATCAAGATTATTTATAGAAAAATGCATATAAATATATTAGCATAGTCAACATTTCTAGGAGAAAATTTTTGTTATTACTAGTACGCTGCTTAATTACGACCCATTGAAGGCTTAGTTTTATTGTAGTGCTTGATAATAATGTTGATTAAGCTAGTTCATTTCTCTAGTTGTGTCCATATCTTTACGCCCAAAAGAGAAAAAATAACACAAGTGAATCATAATGATCATTTGTTGTTAGATTATTGTTATTGATTTCAATCCAGCTAAAGCATTTTTCGTTGTAGAAATG